AGAATGGGAGAGGACAAAAATATGTAGTGTTAAACAATCAAAGTCGTAATCAATATGAATTAGTTCAAAAGGCCACAACCTTGTGAGATACAAACACACAGATGTACACATACATGACCACAAGGAAATTAATTTCATACCCCCAGAATTCTTATCAACCATGCAGACACAAAAGAAAAAATTATAGGATACCATCCTCATATGTTTTGGCTAGAATTTGCAGGTATATATAGAAAACACACAGCTCTTTCCCAAGAAAAAGGAATAGGGTACAGAATTTGAAAGACGAAGTTGTTCCAGTATGCATACTAGAAATCGTAAATTACTATGATAATTTCCAGCACATCTATAAAATAATAAACAATATATAGCTTCAATAGGAAAAAATAAGTTCAATAAAAAATCACACCCAATATTCAACAAAAAATGGTAATCTTTCATAAATTATCATCAATTGAAAAGTTCTCATACACAATCTTTTCACAATAGAAAAATGTGAGATAGAAAGAAGAAGAAAATTTTTTTTAAGGTGGGGGGGGGGGGGGAGGGGAGAGAGAGAGAGGGGGCAACAAATATGGAGAGATGTGAGAAATGTTGTGAAATTTTTAAATTTGAGTTAAAATTGTTACTGATTCTTTGTACTTATATTTTTACCTTCAAATCCTTCAAAATCTATCTACTTAATAAAATATTTTAAAATCAACTAATTATTGAGAAAGTCCAAATTTCAAAACTACCTATTAAAATCTATGTTGAGGACATCTAAATTTTTAAGTATTTTTAAAAATCTAGATTGGAGACACCTATATTTTAACGAATTATATTTAAATTTGAATTGAGGATACTTCAATTTATATGGAGTTTTAAAATTTATCAAACTCTAAATTGATGATACCCCCCTAAATGATCAAGTTATCAAAATGCACGGATTAAATTTTTAAATTTTTTAGTTCGAAAGTTTACTTTGTGAGTAAATGATTAATTGTTAAATATTTATACAATAAATATACTATTTTTAAATAAATATATAATTTAAATGAAGTGCTCAATTGATGAAAAGTGTGGAATTTGTGTGAGAAGTCGGGGATCCGGGTCACATCTCACTCAATAATTAAAAAGTTTGAGCCTTGAGCTTCGTTGATTAAAATAATTTTTTTTAATTATTTTTTGGAATTATTCAATGGGTTGGCCAAACTAACCAATATAATTTGACTTTTTTTCTACAACCCATTACTTACAAGTATAGTACTGATACTTAGGAGATCATTTTCATGTATGTGTGTGTATATATGTCTCACACACACATAAGTGGTTGTTACATAAGTGGTTTCTTTGATCGTTGCATCATAAAAGTGATTGTCCACGGAGGTTGCAGTAGATAATGACGGGCAATTTTACTTTAGGACATCATACTGTCATGAGATTCGACTAGTCGATAAATTTTATTTTCAGCATTTTATTGTTCTGCAAGTTACTATAACTAGTTATCTTTCCAATACTAATTTGATCTTATTAGAAGTCAAGTGTATTGTACAATCATTATTTTCCCATTGTCTTTATGCAGTTCTATGTCTTTCTTCCTTTTCTCAAACAAAAAAAAAAAAAAGAAAAAAAAGAAGGGAGTTAAACCCTAATTTTGAGGGCTCCCATCGTCCCGCCTCTAGAGCTTTGTGAGGGAGGTAAATTGCGAGATGTGTCCCAACAGACCAGCGAACAAGAGCTGCCCGTACACTGCGCCTACAAAGAATCTAATTCCATGTCTCAAGAATCGAACCCCACATTGCGGCTGTCAGTAATACGTGAGATAACCTCACTTCTATCATTTTCACCACTGGACTATGTCTCAGGGGTGTCTTTCTTCCTTCTCTTGCTTTGACAAGGCATGGAGTTATAGGTCTTATGATAGCTTAAAATAATTAATAACATAACATAATTATTTTTATTTTCCTCTTTGCATGAAGTTGATTATATGTCATTCTAGGTTTCATGCAATAAAATGAGAAAAAAAATTAAAATTAAAATTGAAAAAATTAGACTTTAATATCGGGTGTCGGGATCAACTTTTGAACGTATTGAGGACCATAACGAGATTGAGAGGAGGTTTATGAGTTTTAACCAAAAAAAAATAAAAAAATAAAAATCATAAATTTAGTATTTCATAGCATAGTCCTCATTGGATGCTACTGAGCTTACAATTCATTTTACTACTTTCATGACGTCGTTCACTTACAAATTTGCCGATTTCTTCAACTCAGTTTAACCTCAATCCAGTGGCAAATATGGGGAGGCTTCACTGGGCTTCAGCCCAGTCTAATCCTGGTCCAGATGCTATTTGTTTTGTAATTTTATTCTTTTTTCCATTTTTCAAAAAACAACTTATATCTTGACCCAAATTTAGAATTAGCCCACTACCCATCCTCTTTAATTTTAGCCCAACTTCTGAAATGGACCAAAATTTAGAATTAGCCCTTATCCACAAGAATGGAACTTCTTTCACAATTCATGTAGTAAGTGACTGGCAACGAACAACCTCGTAATTTGCTACAAAAGTCCAAATAAATAAAACCCAAATGGGAGGATAGAATTAGATTAGTTGATGTTTTTAGCGTATCCATATCAGAAAGCATATCCTTGTTAGTGGGCCTATGAGCAAGAAAACTATCTAAGGGAAGTGAAACTAACCATAGATATAAAATTGGGAAAATTGCAGCAGTGGTTCCTAATCTTTTTATTTTTTACAGACTTTACCCTAACCTTTATTTTGTATCAATGAAGGTTCATAACCTTTCAAAAATATGCACCTGAAGTTCATCTGGACGGAAACAATCCAAAATACCGTCAGTTGATCAGAAAAATTAAAGAATCAACATTCATTAAAATTGTTCAAAACACCGTTCAAAAATGTATCAACATCTAATAAAATCGTCACAGTAGCAAATAGTTTAAGAAATTTTCTGGTCAACTGACAGTGTTTAACACACCTTCTCTTTAATGGATGCGATCTCGAATTCTGCAGCACACGTGCAATGAATCGTTGCTTCCTTTAAGTTTCATGACAGATTTGAGAGATTCTGAAGCAAATCTCTCCAATTTCTTTGCTTCCTCCGCCTGAACTTCTAATTAATGAGCCATCTTCTACCACTCAATCTACTAAATAATGTGCATAAGATTCAGCCATTTATGAATCCTCCAAATTAATATTAAGTTTCTCTAAGGCAGCCTCTTTCTCTGGCAATTTCTCCTTATTATTATTTGCCCTTTCATGTTCTTGTCTCAAAGAATCATTCTCCAATTTAAATACTTCCACCAACTTGCTGTTCTCATTAGCTTCCGTTTATAGGCATGTGTCAACCATGGATTTCAATTTAACCAGATCGGCCGAAAGTATCTCCATTTTTTCTAGATGTTTTTTTTTCTTTTTTTTTTTTTTTTTTTTGCTTCTTTAAAAATATAAGTGGCTAATAAGTCATTTATGTCATCCTAGACATGAATTATTAACGAGGAGAAGATATGCTAATTAATATAAGGTTGACAAAAAGAATGTGATGGAAAGAAAGTTGATAATGTAAATGCGATAATAAGTAAATGAGATAATTGAATTTTTTTATTTTTCATTTTTCATTTTTTTATATTTTACACCACTTACTCGAACGTTATCGTTGACTTTGAAGGATTGTGCAAAGAATGTGAATTATTAAAATAAAAAGCCACGAAATGGTACACGCAATGGAGAATGATGAAGGTCCTATTCTAAACAAAGTGGACACATTTGTCAAAACGGTTTTAACAAAAAATATAAGTAATATGCAATGCACGTTGAAAAATGAGGTCATAGAAAATAGATGAATTGGTGGGATCCAACCCATAGTGGACCTTATTTTCTTTGCAAATTACATTTTTGAAATGTTTGTTGGATAATGGCCAAACCATTCATCATTTTTTGATAACAATTTTCTACTAGAGGATAAAGCTAAAGGTTGCTTCAATAGATAAATCGGTGCTTATCCTTGTATACTACAATATTTAGGATCTGTTCGATATGAGAATTGATTTTTTGATCGTTAGAGAAAAAAGTGGGTTCCACCTGTAAGTGAAGAAGTAAAAAATAACGATTGGAATAGTGAAATAAAGATAAAAAAAAAAACTGATTTTTTGGTTAAAAAATGCTACCAAACGGAAGCTTAATGTGGAACCCAAAAAAAAAATAAAAAATCATGAAAAGTAAGATCGACATTAATAAAAATAATTTTTTGGAGTGTCCATTTTTGGAGAAGTCTGCTTATAAGCTTTCGCTATATCAATATTCCAACTCGATAAATAGATAAATTTATATTTAAAATTTACTAATTCAAAGTTGTATTATATTCAGTAATACTTGTCGATTGGAATTTATTTTATTTTAATTTTTTGGGGTCAAGTTTGCATAACTTTTGGGTAGAACGGGTAGTTGATACAATATTTGAAATTTAATATGACATGTCTTGTACTTAAAGAATATAATTGCACAAAATAAATATGAATAATCATGCGAACTTATTAAATATTAACAAAATTTAATGAGGGGTCATATATTAAACTAAAACTATTTAGTCCCGGTTGGTGTACATTATTCAAAATTATTTTTTTCTCAAATTTACTTTTAATTAAATATTTTTAATAAAATGATGTTGCAAGCCAACTCATAATTTTCCTTTAATTTTTAATTGTATTTAAAATAAATTATTTTTAAACACGATAATATACAAAGGTTTATTGCGATGAAATATATGGTCTATATTAAATAAAAATTATGGTGCGAATATAAAAATAAAAGGCCTCGCCTATATTGAAGGTATTTTATTTTTCATTTCCTTTTTTTATCTTTTATTTTTGTTTATAATGAACGCTATGGCTAAAAGAAATATGTTAATGACCAAGTTGTTAGATAAACTATACATTAAGGACTAATTACCCAATTTTTATTTGTAACAACGACAGGTCACCACCCCCTTTAACGACCACTAATATACTTTTCTTACATCCCTAGTCATTATTTTCTCTCAATAACTACATTTTCCTTTCAAGAAATTCTCTCCCTAAAACCTCATCTTAGAGAATAGAGAGAGAAACTGCGAAATGTGCCCTCTTAGAATAATTCTGATCTTCCTCTCTGCAACTCTAGCCGGATTCTTCGTCCTAAGAAACCTCAAATCCCCTACCATTATCCCCGAAAACGACGACGTGAAGTCCCCAACCGACAAGGAAATTGAATCCCCAAATTCCCTTACCATTTCGTCCAAGGTATTTTTGATTCTCAGTTTTTGTTCCTTTTTTGCTATTTTATTCTTTAATTTTTCTGAGTTTGATGCCAATTTGTTATTATAATGTGTTTGCAGGTTTGTGGGACAATAAGGAAGGGTTTTTGGACCTTTGTGGACATGGCAAGCGGAAGTTATCTCTGGAGGAATTTGGTTTCCTCTTCCACTACTTGTACCGGGAAGCATGCCAATTAGCTTGATGGTAATTTGTGGTTATGTTTGTGAATTTGTTTTGAGCGATTCTACGGATCGTTCTCTGTTGTGTAATTTCTCTTTGATATAATACCTCAGAAAACAAATCAATTTTAACTGTAGAGTTTATTTCTTGAAATCTGCACGGGTCTTGCATGTAATTTAATGCTGTAGGTTTTGATATGATGGCTGGTTGTATAAATTACACTTTATATCTTGTTACACATTCAAGTATTGGTGTTGCTAGTTGGCTGTTATACATGATATTATGAAGGCATGTGGAAGCTTTAATGTAAGCTTGATTATCCCATTCTAGCTTCTCCTCCAAATAGCTGCTCGTTAGCATGTTATGAGAGCATATAGAGCGGGTTCTCACTTTTGTTAATGAGGGTTAAATGCAATTTATCCCTTCAAACTGTACCTCTATTCGACGATTCCCCTTATAATCTTTTAATAACATCACTTCATGTATTGAAATCTACATAATTGGTAACAGTGTTGACACGAATAACAGAAAGATTCAGTTGCCCTCAATCGACAAAAGAAAGAAGAGCAAAAACAGCACAGTAATAAAACTCAGTGAATCACCACAATCATTGATAAGGAAAAAACCTACATGCCATTGGATTTTGATACCATATTTGCTCACTAATCGCAAATGGTAAACAAACAAAAGTTGTAATATGTGAAATATATTTCCCATAATTGCCATTGTCACTAAATACAAATGGTAGAACCTCCTCTAGTGAACTATCCAGGTTTGTATGGTATAATTTAGTAACTTGCACGACAGCGGTGTTTGATTCTTGCTTACTGTTCATTGAATTGTGAAATAATTAAGATACGCATTTAGTGATGAATACTACAAGAAGTCTGTTTCCATCTTTGCACAAATTCATTTGATAAAGTGGTCTTGGAAAATGGTGCATCCATGCTGAAACTCAGATTCTTTAGATACACCAGGTTGTTTTGTGGACTTGTCCAATAAATTAGTCATTGGCAAATCAGGTTTAATCATATTTTAATGCATAACTAGATGTTTGAAGAGAATTTTATTTTCAGTACTGGGTGTTACTTTTCATATTTCCCTCTTCAAAGAATGCAGGAAGTATGCAACCCCACTTGGTGATGAGTGAAAATTATTTATAAACTGATGTATATAACATGCCTCTAATGGTTTATAGAATGCTTTATGGACTAATATTCATTTCGGAAATGTATCCTGCTTACTTGCCAATATATCAAAATCTCCCCTTCTTCATTTCACCAGCCTTTCTATCTTCTTGCCCCGACTCATCGTAAATCTTATATCCTGGACCACTGCAATGTATGAATTTTGGGTAGAAGGTCGGTCGTAAGCTTGGACCTTTAATGTTCTTATTGTACGAGTTTTCCTACTGGCTACTGGAGCATTGCAAAGACTATACACATTAGGAGTCCCCTTGGCTTCTTCATTCGATATTTATGCACTCCTTCATACTATTCTGTGCCATATGCTTCCTTTTCTGGTTAAAAATTGCCTGTGTATATGATAAAGAAACTGAACTTGATGGTCTTCTAGATAATGCTGTCCTAAGGAATATGATCATAATTTCGTAACTTAAAAACTTGACTTCTTTATTATGAATTATCCCAACACCGCACAAACCAACCGATATTCACCTCTACTTAGTTTCTGCTTGCAATCTCATTGCATGTTTGATAAAATAGGTTTGATAGTATTGAATAATATCTTGTTTATTGTACTATAGAGCTGTCGAATATTACAGGATAAAACACTCAGGTTTTGAAGGTTAACAGCTAGTTTATTCTAGCTGCTTCATTTTAGAGGTTATGATTTAAATGTCTCTGACTTTGGTTATTTGATTAATGTCAATGGCGCACGATGTCTAAGAGCATGAGAGAAACAGTCTGTACTAAAATAAAATTGTTGACTTCTTAAAGTAATATAATTAACACCTTAATTTCAGAATTTCAAGTCCGTTTTAGACGCTGAAGAAGTGGAAGGCCCAGTTTTCAAAATCGAATGCTGAATATTTAATTGTTTGATTTTCTAAACATGGTACATAAATTTGAGGTTAATATTTTAGAACCTAAAATTGTTTGATGTATTTAGCTTTTGAAGACTGACCGAGGAACTAATATCAAAATTCAAAGTTATACGAGTAATTTAATTAGGTATTTATTTGTTTTCAAATGTATGCACAAATAATTTTCGGTTGTCTCTGTTTTGCAATGGAGATCAATAAGAAACAAAAACAAATGATGCCTCATCTTGAAATATATATGCTGTAACGCATATTTCTACGTTGCACTTTGAAGAGGAATTTTATATGAATGCAAGAGGTTTTAAACAAACGACAATCTTGATAAAACCATTTTATGTAAAGAGTTCTCAAATTTAATTAAAATTTATTTTTAATCACATATTCCCATATAAATTAATTTTATACGTTTTTTTCTTTTTTAATCAAATATTTTTCAAAAATAAAAAAAATCACCATTCCAAAATATATTTTCTTATCAAAATGGGACTCAAACAGGGCTTAGTCTATTTTCACAAGGGGCCTTGATGCTTCAAGTTAGGGAACAATACATAACTCTTACATATAAGAATTAAATTTCAAAATTAACAAACTTATCAAATTATTTCAAAATTTAGACTTTAATTCCAATTAATAATATGTAATATATAATTAATTATCCCCCACCCAATAAA